AAAAAAAAAGATAAACTGTGAATTTATGAATGACATTTTAAGAAACGGGAAAAAAAAAACGAACCTTGTGGAGTTCGATTGTTTCCCATTTTCATGTAACCCGTGTGTGAAGAGAGGATCATTCAAGAATTTGTGATTTTCCCCATTTTCCTTTTGTTGTTTTAGTTCTGAAAATTTGGGTTGCTAGACTTGCGATTTCACGATTCTAGTGGCGCAAAGTGAACTAGCGCAACTTCTGAGCTGCTAGGTGCCTTGAGCCTTGAAGTCGTTAAGGAATGCCTTAAACTAACGGACTAGCCCTATCGGTTTCGGGTTAGCCCTGACGAGCTTCGGGTTATCCCTAACGGGCTTCGGGTTAAACGGTCCGAACCTAAAAAACTCAAATTTAAACTAGCTACCAATAAAAGGACCTAACCTTAACTCTAGCGGACTTCGGGCTGAACGGGCTAAACGGGCTATAGTAATAATAATATATATAAAAAAAACATAAATAAAATTACAACGGGTAGTTCACGATTGTTTTCAACGAGTATTTAGTATTTACCGCTCTATATATATATATATATACAACTACATTTCAGATATGAACACTTATTACAAACTCTTAAGTGATATGTTTTTCTCAAAAGAAAAAAAATGTTCGAACTATTACTTATAATTACTATTTTACTACTTATTTTTGTACGCTTTGAAAATTTTCATGATATTGTATCTTACTGTTGAATTTATATTCTATCACTATGTTCTATGTGTTAGATCTTTGTCTCATGTATTTTCTATTAGCCATTCTAATTAGCTTAAATAATTTGGTGTGAAATAGAATAACGAAATAGTTAATAATTATCTTTCAAAATCATAATAACCCGCTACAACTCATAGTTACATATAAAGTAGAATAGTGAAGTTGTAATATACAAATTAAACGGGCTAGTCCTAGCGGGCTTCGGGCTAGCCCTATCGGGCTTCAGTTTAAACGGTCCGGGCCTAAAAAGCCCTGATTTAAACGGACTACTAAAAAAAGCCATAATTCTGTTTTTTTTTTTTTTGGCTAAACAGACCAGTCCGTCGGAGCAAAGACCATTTAATATCTCTACCTTAACCTAGGCAATACGATGTGGTATTTGTTTGTTTTTATTCATATAATTGTAGTTAATGGGCCAAATTTATTTTAATACAAATCCATACGACTAGGATCGCTTACGTGTTTATTCAACTGTTATCCTTTAATTCTTGGAGAAATTTACTCCCTCTACAATCCATTGGATAAATAATATCACAATTACGATTACACAAATTTTTTATCAACATTACGTTTTAAGTAATTAATATAATATTAATAGGTGAAATAATTATATATGGCCTAATTAAGTGGGATTAATTATATTTTTTGAGAAGTGATAAGAGGTCTCCACGTTATCTTCTTCCTCAAGAAGTAGTCCAACTCACGTCTCTCTCTCTCT